ATACAAAAATATAACAACGTATCCTCATCTATTGATCAAATTCGCGTAGTTAGCTTCTTAGATTGGTTACAATATTAGAGAAAGAAAATATATACTTTCTCCTAGATGCTATAGATTTCAACTCGTACATGCATAAATAAAAACTTATCTATTTTCAGTGATACAAATATAGTTTCTAACAGTTAAAAGTTTAATAAGATATTCGAAAATAGATATGTATTATTTGATAATCATCATCTTTGTAATATATATAGCTAAACATTTTTGAAATGTCCAAAAATAGAGTCTAGTCATTAAACTTGTGGCAATAAAAGTCACTTAGCCATCAGCAAGTAAACCATTTGCAATTATGTCTAGCATTTTTACAGATAAAAGCAAATCGTTTCATTTATGGACTAAAATGACTGTGTTTTCTCCATCTCGAAAATCCTATAATCTGAAATCTATTCTATTTTTAGGATATAATTATTGCGCTTCTAATCCTTGTGATACCAATGCTACTTGCTATAATAAAGCTAACGATTATATATGTCGCTGTAAGGACGGTGGATTCAAAAAGAATTGCTCCGAAGGTAAGGAACTTTCCAAGTTAGCCTACCATAACCTTGATGTACCTTAAACTTCAATGTTGGGATCCAACTAAAAATATCTTTGCCCTAACTACCATCATAATATGTGTCTATTTCTTGCATAAATAAATTTCAGAATACGTATTTTAGTTCTTTAAAATTTCCGATTGCACCGATATTAAGTAATCGTAAAGCAATTTGTTGCACATTTAAAATTTTTTTTTAATTTTGTACCCTTAGTAGATTAGAATGTACACAAATTCTTTGATATTTCTAATTTTCTTAAAAAGCATGCTATTATGAAACAAAGTGTATTTGCTTACTTTAAAGTTTCAAATTTCGCCAAAATTAAGTAATCAAGAAATAATTTGCAACATGTTTTTAAATTTATACTTCATATCATCGATAGAATCGAATACAGGCATTCTTTACCATTCTAATTTTCTCTATATTATACTATCCTGAAACAAAATATTTTTGCTTACTTTAAAGTTTCTAATTTGGCCAATAGTAAGTAACTATAAAGCAACTTACTATGCCTACATTTGTTACTTGTTTATGTTTAGTATCCTAAGAAGATTAAAATATACCCGTATTCTTCGCCATTTGCAGTTTTCCTGTATTATGTTATCTTGAACCAAAGTATATTTACTTATAGTTTTAATATCCTCGTTAAATTCAACGCAGTGAATTAAAAGTAATTTTTAATATGTCATCATCATATTAATATTTCTTTATATGAGGTAATAATACGATTAGGTAAGACTTGAACCATTAAGTTTATCTATCAGTTTATAAATAATTATCTGAAGATGATCATTCTTTCCTGAATCTAACAAGTTTAGTCGTTATGCCACAAAAACCTCTTCTAAGCGCCTATTTCGCTTTGTAAAAGATTTGTAATTATATTATTTTTACCAAAACATAAATTATAGTATTCTATTGAGCTTCTGGCGATCATCAAGATTCATGAAATCAGGCATGAGAGTATTGCTGGCAACAAACTTAGTAAAGTTATTCAGTAATTATTCAGTGATTATGGAAACCTGTTTATAACAAATTCTAACTATCAATGCGCATATTAGAGTAGTATAGCCGCGTTGCATGAGTAGATATAATAGAGGCACACAACAAGTTTTAATGCGGGAATAATTGCACTCATGTGTGTACTCATGGTGTCTGTCATTTCATTTACTATCCAATAGCTATTATTTCGGGTACATTCAAAATCGTAGACAGTTTAGATGGGACTTATGGAACCGTTCAAATATATTCCGGAACGTCGTGGTCGAAAATTTGCTGGAACTCCATATATCGCATAAGTAATATAGCATATAAAAGAATTGGGCAAGCTATCGCTAAATCTGTGGGACAGAAAATGTGTGGTCTAGGAATGCGCTTGGATGATATTCGACCAAGTATTGAGCCTTACGTCAATATTCCCTTCATATGTGTTGCTGATGGAGACATCGATATTTTAAGTAAATGCTTACCATGGCAAGAAGGAATGTTGACTTCGTATTGTACCTCTCGTAATACTGTTTACGCTATCTGTTCAGGTAAGATGGAGTAAAGACTTATAATAAACTTACCATAATAAATTTACTTATATTGTAGCGACCAGAATTCTTTTAACTTATACTTGTACAGAATAAAGAATACGCTACTTCTAGTTCGAAGATCAACGTTTTATTTGTAATCGTTCTTTTAAAAATCTCTACCTACACATGCATATAAATTTAATCCTCCGATCATAGATATCAGCTGCTTCATATAGTGCAGTCTAACCTGCTATTAGCATTTAGAAAATTTAGAAGATAATATTTTAGATATTTTTTAATCCTTTCTCTATCAGCTTTAAGATTTAATAGTGCTACCGTCTACTTTCAAGCTTTCTTCCTGTTAATGATACAAATAAATCAACTTACATTTATACAGATTATAATAGGAGTTCATTAACAGAACTGCAAAATTATTTATTATTTAGGCTCAGCATGTCTGTCTAATCCTTGTGTTAATGGACTTTGCTTCAATGCAAATGCAAATGGTACAGCCTACGTATGTAAATGTTTAATTGGCTATACTGGTCAAAATTGTGATATAGGTAATTTCTCGAATTTGCTATACTTTAAGATCTAGCACGATTGACATGTACAAGTATATTATCATATATTATTATATTGTTTAATTATTACATATTGTTATGTTATCCTTAATTTATTATATTATGTACATATTAGTGCCATTGTTAATTATTTAACAGAACTTGAATAGTTTGATCAGTAATTTGAAATTCGTTTGAAATACTTTGATTAAATGGGAGCAGAAACCAACTACTGCAAGAGATATCAAAATTTGTGCATCAATAACGCAACTTGTATTAAAATTGGATCAAGTTTTCGATGTGCTTGTGCACCAGGTTACGATGGTTCATTCTGTCAGTATGGTAAGATGCAAAGAAAATTATGTAAAACAAAATTTTACGCATGTAGATGGAATATTCTAAATATCTATTTCCTGTAACGAATTTCTAATCAATTACAAATACTACGGCCATCTCATAATGCTTTGCTATAAAATATATTAGGAGAATAATTTAGTTATAAGTTAATTCTATATCTATTTCACATTTACCTTACAGAATAATTCATATTATTTAATTAAAAAATTTTAGGTCCACACGCGGACGGCAGTTTAAGACTTATTAAATTTAAATCGGGCAGCTATCAAAACAGTGAAACATTTAGCCGTGTCGCAAAAACTCGCGGATATCCAGTTATTTATTTTAACAGCCAATGGTTTTCCATATGTTACGATAACTTTCTCATCACTGAAGCAATGGTTGCTTGCAAACAATTAGGTTACGATACTGCACTGAGTTATGGCTATCCTGAGGAAGATTCTGTCAATAAGACATCATTGGGGTATAATCCGATTGCCTTACAACGTATTCATTGCAATGGCAATGAAAGCCAACTGCTGGAATGTGCCGATATCAAATGGGATTTTTGTATCAGAAATCGGATGACTGAACTCCATTGCGGATGTGAGTCGCCTGTAGATTTTCAATCCAAATTCTCGAAATTTGAAGAGCTTTTATTTCTTGCTACCAATTATTTTTATTTGTTAACTTAGCCTGCCCTCCACATTGCACATGTCGAGAAAATCTCGTCATTTGCATGGGTAAAAAAATTACAGAGGTTCCAGAAACTGCTGGTGCAACCTATGATTATTGCCATGTATTGTACGTAAGGCATTAGCTCATGAATATGTGATAATAAAGCTACCCTATATTAAAACTAGGATGTGATTACAAAACTACCTTAAACTAAAATAAGGAAAAATTATTTACGCAATATTTATCGGTAGTAAATTGAAATGTCTCCTATTTGGGGGCATTTTAATAGGAAGGATTTCTGTAATCGGAAAAAGTCAAGAATATGTTAATTAATAGAAAATAATCTTGTGCGAGTACTTAATTAGACAATGTTTTCCCTCTAGAATGTTTCGCTTTACAAGCGTCAAAGTGATTAAAGACAATTCCTTTCGAGCTTATCCTAATGTGAATAGGCTGTAAGTCGACAACTTTATTTCTCTCACCCTTGAAATTCAACTTGTAAAATAATTGCATAATTAATCACTACAGATTTCTTGGTCACAATAACATCGTTACTATATCGAATATCGCATTTCAGCGTTTGCCTGATCTCACGCATATGTGAGTAAATCGTTATGGTACTTAGATTCTTGATAAAGTAGTAAACGGCATATTTAAAATTGGACGCAAAAGGATGTAACAAGATTTCGGTATTTTCTTTAGTTATATTAGAATGCTAACTATCTCCTTAAGATCAAATAAGTATGGTTAAACGCTATAAATACGATGAAAAATTTTTATGGAATTTTATCACGATTTCGCCAGTGCACAAAGGAAACATTATTAAGATGCTACATATATATAAATTTTTTCTCTGTATATGGTTCGATGAAAATTAAACTAAACGTCCTGCAAATCATTCAATATCAAATATTGTCATGATATGCAAATTAGAGATAAATGCTCACTAATTCACGAGCTGAGGCATTATCAACTATCTTGCAAGACGAGCAGCGAGATAATTTTTCACCTTTGACTTATATCAGCTCCATTTATGATAATAATTTTTCTATTTTACTAGAATTTTAGCATTCAACCCTTTAACCAATACATCTGGTCGAGCATTCTCCGATTTGCCTAAGCTTTCCATCCTGTAAGTTATTGCGACAATGTCAAACTACGATAGCTTCGGCTCTCAATACATCCTCTGACATTTTTGTTTTAGCTAGAGAATAATTAAAGCCAATGGGAAATTTTATATGATTCTAAGTGTCTAACTTATTATTTATATAATTTGCATAGTAAACTTGCGAATACAAGCTTTTCCATCCAAGAAACAATTATGAATGTACCAGTTTTAGCTAAATTGTATGTTTATTAATGTTATTACAGTTTTGCTCTGGCTCTGCATGATTAAATTGTTATCTTCAATCTTTCCTTCATAAAATAGACATTTACAAATGATGCAACTGGAGCATTTCAATAACAAAATAACTCATAATATGAGAAGATTAAATCGATTGTGAGTAAACATCAATTTATAGGCTTAGATATTGCCATGATCTTGATTGAATACCAAAGAAAGATCTGATAAAGCTATTTCTAGGAAGTATTTTGTTCATTTACAGTTCAATCATTTAATGCTATCCTCCTTCGTTAACATTTAGATATTTAGACGAAAATGCGATTTTAAGTCTACATCAAAATCAATTTTTTAACTTGAAGAACTTACAGATTCTGTAAGATATGTCAATGCCAAAAATGTTTAGGAAAAGATTAGAGTCTTTGTTTTGACAATTGGTTATACTAATTTTAGGCTCCATTTGAAAGCTGTACAATTATTTTCTCTAGGAGTCTGTATAATATTATAGAGAATGATTGCAGCTATTTTTAATGTCTTCTTCAATCTATAGTTCTCTGAGGACAAATCAAATTCGGAGCATTCACCGTTACGCTCTAAAGGGATTAAAGGAATTGACTTCTTTGTAAGTTTTTATTCTAATGAAATCATTTACAGGTTTCATTAAATTTGTCTAAGCAATTTGGTTGCTTAAATTAGAAGACTAGACGGAAACAGAATTTCTAATATTGACGGCAATATTTTTCATGTTGTTCCGAAACTGCAGTATTTGTAAGTATTGAACTAATCACTTACTTAACTAAACTGATGGTATTACAAACTAAAGATTTCTGGGAAAGATAGAAAGATGAATGGTGGCTAATATTTATTCGGCATAAATAAAATTTAGTAACTTAATGTATGGCTATTTGTATTTCAGAGGGTTACACAAAAATCGATTTAAGCAAATTGGTCGCTTAGCGTTTTATAACTCATCTTCTATCTTTTTCATGTACGAATGTATCTTAATCTCTAATAATCAATTCGAGAAAGTATTTCTGCAGTCCATCAATACCCTCTATTAAGAATCTTTATTTCATTCATAAATTTAATCTATGCCAATATGTTTTCTGGTACACTGATAGCGATCTCAAGGACAATTTAATTGATTATATCAATCCAGATGCATTTCAAGGGATGACAGGACTTAATAAATTGTAAGATAGCATAATGATATTAGTCTTAGATAAAATTGATGAAACGGTCGTTATATGTGCATATTCATTATTCATTTATGTTTTCTTTAACATTTTAGAGAATTAGCAAACAATCGGTTTACTTATCTTTCCAGAGAATTATTTCCTAAGCATCTTAGCAATTTAACATACCTGTTAGTTGGAATTTCATACAAAACTTAATTTATTGCTAGACTACTAGCTAATTTGATTCTCAAGCTGCTGTCTATTGTTCTCCTGTTAGTTGATGATAAATACATATCATCTATTTATTTCGGAATTATTTAAATGTTTTGCATAGCAAATTTTGCGTATCAACTGAGGTTCATATACAGAACTAGCTAGCTAGAGTATTAAACAGATAACTATAACTTCTGTTAGTTGAAAATGAAACCTTAACGTGTTATAATTTATATATATAGAGCAAATGATACCAGAATATATATATACAACCCTAGGAGTGAATCAGCATATGCTTAATTTAATTTGCTTCTTAGTTATATTAATTAAAAGTGAATGCTATTGCGTGAAATAGAACTGTGGACCTCATTAATTATGACGATAAAATGATCGAATCAATGTGATTCTGCATCCCCTTTAGATATTTATTTAACTTTCCTAAGTTACTAAAGTAAACGCTAAATTGTTATTACGTTAGACTGAAGGTAAATATTTAATACTAGCTAACTAGCCATTCATCAACTCAATACTATTACTATAGCAGCCTACGGGGAAATTTCATTTCGAGGATACAACCACGAAGCTTTAGCAACCTGATAAATTTGCAAACGTTGTAAGTTCCATTTGTAAGGCAGTTCAAAAATAGTATAAATTATGAACGATAAAGAAATTACATTGGGCCGAATATGTAGTTTGCACGATTTCTAAAGTGTTAGCTATCATAAATTATAGAATATACATATAGTTTACCACATGGTCTTAAATATAATATCATTTATTCTTATTTTTTGGTATAGGAGTTTATCCAATAATCCGATATCGAATTTATGTCGTTTTGCATTTTCTAAATTAAGGAATTTAACCAAACTGTGAGGGAATTTTAAAGTAGTAACTAATACTGAGTGACAAATCAATAGCTAAGTGGACAAATAATTTGCAAATGGACGAAACGTGAGACAAATTGGATTAGAACAAGAACTAATCAAACCATGTTTTGCTACTTTAGAATTATGAATCATTGCCTATTAGAGAAGGTTGAGAAGGATGCCTTTTCGCTAGGATTACCTAACCTGCAAACTTTGTAAGCAATTTCTTTTCATAATTTCTAAATAAAAATGTGATATGTATTAAAGTAAAATTAAAATTAGCTGCAAAAGATTAAGTTCAATAGCAAAATTGCTATTACAGCAATCCAATAAATGCATCGCTTTAGTTTATTACATTTTTATAAGCCATTTGGAAACACAATGATTCCATTGAAGTTTAGCTTAGTAAAGTCAAAATAGAATCTTGGAGATCAATAGAACTAGTAATACTTAATTTAATATACTTTATGATATATGTTTATATGTTTTGCGAGCATAAAGAGATCATTGCAAAGAATGAAACACGATATTTCTGTCTAATTATGAGAAAATATCATTAGAAATTTAGAACGTAATAACTTGAAGAATTTGCAGTTTCTAGGAGTAATGCCTAACTTGCGAAACCTGTAAGTTGAACCAAATATTTCGATCATATTCATGTTTGTAATGTCTACATGATATGATAAAATTGTTCGTTGTAAATGATATTTATGGTCTGTGTTAAAAATAAAAATGTTCTCATTTTATGTTAATCTTCAATAGCTAATTGCGAATTGAAAGTTCAGTTTAATCTTTTTTTTACCTTGACGGGTTTTAAGCAATAGCTGCAGTTTTCCAATTTAAGCTTCTAGAAATAATAGCAATAATTAAACCTTTTAGGCATTGAATAGATTTAGGGTTAATTTCATATATTCCAATTAAGTTTTTTACTAGTAATTAGGCTAAAAACGTACTAAAATTGATCGAGAATCCCCTGTCAGCTCCGAATGTATTTCGTTGATCCTAGTAATCAATAATAAATATTCGTTTACGATAATGTAAACCTAATAGTTCACATACGTATATTTTAAGAAAGTGCTTATTTCTAAGAATACTGGCAGTAGCTACTATCTCATTATCTAAATTAGATTTTAACTTAAACATCAATTACTACGTTTTGATAGGAATTTAGCCGAAAATAAGTTGAAAACATTGCAGTACGACAATTTTAAAGCTTTGCCTGGCCTACAAAACCTGTAAGGAATTATAAGTCATTCTTAAAATTTGTTAGCTCGAATTCTCTATAACAA